CGAAATAACGCACACCCCATATACTAATGTTAATAAATCACCTTGATATTTACCATCAGCGATTGGGGTGTATCCTTTGCCTCGAAATAACGCCCATGCGCCGTACTCGAAATAACGCGCATCTCCTCGAAATAACGCGCAGATGTGCGTTATTTCGCGTAAATACGGTACTTAGAATGCGCTATATTTAATAATAGTTAATCCAAAAAAATAAATATTCTTATAAACATGATATGCTTATGTAGGTGATTATATAGAAGTGCGACTGTAATTAATTTTTTTTATTATTAACTCAAATTGAAAATCCCATCATATCCTTCGACGTAAAAGTATTATTTCTGCTATAATAGCTATGACAATTAAAGCAATAATGACACTAGCAATCGCAATAATAATCGGTGGAGGTGGATATGTAATGATAAGCATTGTGTCTATTATTATAGCTGCGAACAACGCTATAGAGCAATTAGCAATAATCATCATCTTATTATCCAATAGTGATTGATGATTAATTTTTATAATTGCTACTGTAGTCGCAATAAACACCACATAAAAAGCAACGGTCGAAACAATAATCGGAAGAATTGGTATTATTATTATAGGACAAGTGTAGCCGGGTGTAAAAGTGGTTACCCACTCTAGGCGCGGCAGACACAATAAATAAATGGAAGGATTAGTTTTAACAGACTCAGATTTATCATTAGTAATATTACCTTCATTATTTTTCAAGAAAAAAGATAATTAGTTTTATTTATAGATTATAATAGTAATAATAATAATTAGATAATCACCGAAGGCAACAATCATATAATTCCGATATAAATTTACAGTATGAAATGCTAATGTAGGCGGTCGAATTCCAGAATCTTTTAATTCTGAATATTCATAAGGCTCGGTTTTTATATCTAGCATTATAAAAACCGGATATACAGCAGTTGCATTTTTTACCATGCCTATAAGCAAATATTTGTTTTTAGTATTAAATATATTTGAAAGGAAGCGGACTTTATTAATATTTACTTGAGGTTCCGCCTATAATAATGATTGCATTATTTTCTTGTGTTAAGGTCGCCGTATGGCCTACTCGAGCCTGAATAAGAATACCTGTTGCTTGCTAAATGTTTATATCTTAAATTATAAATAATGGTAAGATATAATGGTAATCACTAAAAAAAAAAAAATACACACTTTGGATGAACAGGTTAAAGAATTTGTGTCGAATACTGAGATCTATTTATATACAAATTAGTATAAGCCAACAAACAATAATATGCAT